TTAAACAGTTTCAATATAAACATTTCAGAATAATATTATTAAATAAAGAATCGCTCCACTTTCAAAATACTTTACAGTCATTTCACAAGTTGAGTCTCTAGTAAAAGTTAAATCAGTAAATTCCTTTATGATTATGTATCAGACACATGTTATATAAATAAAAAATATTATTTAAATCTTGACAGTTAATTATTTAGAAGACGATAAAACGATACAGCATTTTAAGAATGAGGGAAACCCTATACATATTAGTGAAGCGAGACGAGCATTGCTCTCATTGATAAAATATGCTCTAACTCATAAAATCACTGTTTTATATGTGGAGTAGCAAGGTAAGACGATAGCGGCGAATAAATTTACATCTCATACAAACATAGGCGCCAATACACTTCCTGAATAATAAATAAAGATTTGAAATAAGTTCACGTAGAGATCTAATGATGACTAAGATTGGTGCGTGTACAAAATTTAATTGTAACTAAGTTTTTCGGAAAATTTAAAAGAAGTTTTTCTAATATATTTTTTTATTAATTTAGATTGGATAGTGCTTGACTTATAATCCAAATGTCGGTAAGTGGAAATGAAATTGTAGGTGGTGAACGCAGTATATTAGTAAAAGTTCAATCTCTCTAGCAATCTTGGAGACACAAAATTATGATTTGAAAAAACACAGGTACACAGGAGAACTGTTCTTTGCTATGTACAGAAAATACAAAACGGTTCACTGTTCTAGATGCTAGAAATAACAAAGCATGCCCATAGCACGTCTGGTCGTCTTAGGATAAAAGTAAGATTTTCAAGAGTACACAGAAATAAATCCTCGATTTTCGGATATACTACGTGCCCTTACTATAAATCCGAGGAAAATTAAATATAATAAATTTGCATCGTATATCCGATAACCATAATTCTATATGAAAAGGAGGTTCAGGAATTAAAACTTACAATACATGAGAACACATTATAATTTTATACTATAGAATACCAAGAGGCAAGTATTAAGACTGGTATTAAGGTGTCAAGTCATTTTTTTCTACTTGTTACACTTCACTTCCGAAACTAAAGTTGTAATAAGAAAACTGCTAAAAACTTGAACAGATGATCGATAAAGCTTGTTATATAATATGAATTATAACATTTAATATGCTATTTATTTTCTAGTTGTTATTCCAGAATTTGTGTTTATTTAGCGATACTTTCGAATGATGTAATAAAAGCGGTTTTGCTTCAATATTTGACTGGTTTTTTGAATAAACGGTTTCCAGTGAGGTGTTTTTTTTAAACCAATGTTAATGTTTTGATTTTAATTAGTTTCGGATCTAGATTCCTTTGAATAACGAGTCATTTCAAATAATTCGGTCTATGTATTGAAGTAAGTTTATCGTTTGGGATAGTAAATAAGTGAATGATTGTTTATTTCTATATACAGTTGCTTTTAATCAAGTTAGTTTTATTTTGATTAATCATATAATGAGAGTATTTGATAACCTAGACTTCTCAGTAAATTATTTTTTTGAACCAGATAATCCCTACATAAGTAAAGTCACGATATGTAAATAGTTAAAAGTTCAAACAAGCCTAATTTAATATTAACCGTAAAAATATAAGCCTCTTACACGGATACTTACTCAATTCATTTCTATGCACGATCGTGGATTCATATTTTACATTAAATAGTTTTTTATTGTTGCTATAAGATGAATGGGTTCAGTGTTTCAAATATCAATAACATTTGCATAACAAGTCGTCCAAAATGTTTATAAATTTCTTCACTTCATATTTATATCTAGATAAGTGTGGGTGCAGTTTCATTAGAGAATTAACCATATAAGCAAACTAGATCAAACATTAATGAAATTTTGAAGAAATTCTGCTTTAGATGAACTCCATTGAGACATGTATTTTTAGGAATAAACTGCGATAAAATGGTTGAAAATATTTTACGACGTATTATACTATACTCCGTTTCACCAATCTTTTTAATTGCACTGGATTAAAAAAAATTAAACATCGTTTATTTAAAAAAAATCTTTTTAGTATTAGGTATATGTAAACATTAAATTGTTTTATTGCTTAAGAAAAAATACTAAATTTGCAAGAAAGTATTCTGACTATACGAAAACAGCTCGGACTTGCTTGTTTGTTTAAATTTTTAATTTCAATGACTTAAGTTACAGTATATAGAATAATATACAATACTGATAAAAATGTAAACATGTGTATTTTGAAGCCACATAAAATGTGAATATAGTCCGTAGCATTACATGTGTAGGATAAAATATATTCATGAATACGGAAGATTTTATGTATAGCATTTCTTTTTATAACATAATCATACATTTTTATACATATTATCATGTTATTTATTTATTATTATTATTTGCAGATTTATCAATGTATTCGTCATTGAACGCCTACAATTTTCCCTTTCCATTCCTAGCAGGCCATAACTATCTTAATATCTAATTAATAAAAAACCCATGTGCTTATAAAATAACCAATAGGTAGAAAGCGTTGAATTAAGATATTTTAAACTATGATTCATAGTCCCAGCATGTACTTGTGTCGGGAATTGTTAAAATTGTTCCAAATAGAGTTAATATTATGTATATACTCCTAGTCTAGGACACCCTCTTCCAATTGCTTTTCAAATTTTGTTAGCCCATATCTTTATTCATTATGCTGTTGTAAACTTTCTTATTTAGGAGTCAATTATTTGGCAACATCAATGACTTTGGCAGACCTCAAAAGTCAGTTCATATTTTATAGTTTAGGCAAAATGTGATAAAACTTCTGAATTATAGAGAGCTTTAGTTTCTTCTTACAAAATTGGATCGTGAGAAAATTAAATTCTCTTTATTAATTTTGAATTAATGTATTTATTAGACGTAAAAAACATGCTTATATACGTAATAGGAAATAATTCAACTTTCTACTTTAAACCGATATCTTAATATCTTCCTTTCCTTTAAATATAACATACTTAAAAAATTAATTCAGTTTCATATTTAGACTCTAATTTTAGGTTTTTGTCTCTTTAATTTCAACTTTTGTTCGTTTAACCAAAGTTTTAGATTGTTCAATTCTAAAAATTGAAATTGTGTTTTAAAAATACCAATTATGAGATATTGATAATATATAATATACAAATTTTTAGACTTTCATTTCTATACAATTTAGTTATGATTAAATATTGGTATGCGTGAGCCACGACTCGTCAGAAATTTGAGGGAAAATACGAAAACCTACTTAAGCGTATGTTATTTTTAAGTTATTTTTTTAATAAAACGTAAAACTAAGCCTATGTGATTTATTCACCACTTTCTTTTTTTAATTTATTTTTATATGTTATTCTTATCTCAGGAAACTATATTTAAACATACCTATATTAAAATAATAAAAGAAAATACGATCTGTTGTACTCTCTAAATGGTAAAGCTGTCTTGTATTCAGAATAGGTATCCTATATCATATTTTCGTTACCTGGACTCGAAAATCACCACTTCCATCAGAAGATATAATCCGTATAACAATACGGATGCTTACTCATTTAATCTATATACATATTTATTTCTTTCTATCAGCGAGAATGCTGGAAGCTCTAAGATCCCCTCCCTTCTTCATATAGTTTGCTTCATTTCCTTGCCAAATCTCCATTTTATATGTATTATATACAACAATTATTGGAGCACGTCGGGCTGTCTGTTTTATCATAACTCTGTCGAAAACTAATTCTGTGCAAATTTAAACTAAATACAAATTTTTAACTCCTATAAAATGAATTCAAACCCATTTATAAATTAGAATGTAATTTATATTAGGAATGGGTTCCTTGTAGAGTAATTGTAATAAGAACAATAAGAATTATTTTTTTCTATACACATGAATTCGATGTTGATAGGTTTGTATAATGTATATATAAATTAATTGCTACAGAAATAAATGTATTATATATTTTTTTAAGTTAAATATTTTAATAGATATTTTAGAAGAAATAAATATTGCATAAGCATTAATACATTTTTCTTTTTATATAAAATATGCAATAGTCTTACATCATATTAAAGAAATTGATATAAAAATATGATATAATATTAAAAATAAATATTTATTTTACCGTTTACTTTCAATTACATGAAATTCTTTATACAATAAAAAAAAAACAATTAATAGATTATTTTAAGTACATAGATAATAACTCTGTCTTTGAAAAATATGTGAATGTTTCAAAAAGAAAAAGGGATAATAACTTTGAATCAAATTTTAAGGAACTACATATTATTGAATAAGCTATATTATTTTTCAAGAGCATTTCTAAAAAAAACGTACCAATTTATACAAGATAAGCTATCAGTCTTATAGAAAATATTAATACTCTCAAAAATATAAGTAGATTAATTACACATAAGTGAACGTTCAAATGTCGGGTGCAAATATTTTGTATTAAACGATACTCTAATTATTAAATATCAATTTTTGTGAGGTCACTTGCCTCGAGTGATCCTATAGCAAGGTCGAAGTTAGGCTTAACTATTTGTATATGTTTTAGAAATGAGATTGGTTTATGCACACAGAAAGCATGTGTATATATATACATACATATATATATATATATATATATGTTGATTTAATAAAGAAAACGTTATATACACGATAATTTCACTTGTATTTAAATGATTGAGAAAAATTAAATATAACATAGTTTGGATTTTATAATGCATTGTATATTTTTAAAATTTAATATACATTCACATAAATAACTATATAATTTAATATAACATGTTAAATAAGAGTACATATGATTAATATAAAACTATTGCATAACGCTGTCTACAACAATTAGATGCGTCCATCTTATGAGGCAACACTGAACCACGACTTTTTAGATAAAGCGCTATATGATGTAGATCAATATGAAGTGCAGGATTCACTATAAATAAAGAAGAGCGTTTTTTACTTACATCATTCAATCAAAAACAGCAATCGGTAGCGCACACAAAATGAAATTGGTAAATATTATAACGGAACCATAAAAATTATTTCAGATTTCATTTAGATATAAAATATTTATTTTTATGGGAGATATTTAAGAAATTAAAATAATAATGAAATCTTTTTCAGCTCGTGATATTAGCCCTCATTGCTGTCTCCAATGGAGATAAGCTGCAAAAGGCATATCTTCCCCCCCTTCATGCCCAATCTTCTGGAGGGTCCGGGAGCTTCCTTGAGACTCCCATATTAGGAAGAATTGTTGTACCAGAAACAGATGACGGTCACCAACAAATACAATATGTCCAAATTGCTGATCACGGCAACAATTATAGAGAATACCATTCAAGACCAGAACGCCCTCAAGCTGCGATTGAAAGGAATGCGAAGATCCTTCACCAAAGCTTTGATAGCGATGGCGAAAAATACGCATACTCCTTTGAAACTGAAAATGGGATATACGCTGAGGAGAAGGGTGTAGCCACTCACGGAGTTTCAGCTCAGGGAGGTTTCTCATACACTGGGGATGACGGCAAACAATATAGCATCAGGTAATTTTCAAATATATTTCCGTAAATATCATATATCCTCTATATATAAGAACACATTAGATCTATTGTTATCGCTTCAGGAAAATTTTCACATCCTTTTTTACTTACAGGTATACCGCCGATGAAAATGGATTCCGTCCCCAAGGAGACCATATTCCCACACCACCTCCCATTCCTAAGGAAATACTTTTATCTTTAGAGCAGAACGCACGTGATGAAGCAGCTGGCATTTTCGACGATGGTTAATATAAAAAAAATATAACCATATTAAAAAACATGCTTATTTAGCCATTACATAAAAATAAGTACGTGTTTTACTGTATGCTCTATTGTTTTTTAGGTTCTTACAACGCCAACAAATACGAAGCTGAAAGTAAGTCTGTTTACGGAGTACATCACGGGAATCAAGTTCACGAGCAAGTTCATGTTGAGCATGCCCACAATGATGAAGACTCTGTAATAACACATTCCGCAGCTTCATCCGGGTCAGAAGTTCAAGCTCCCAGACATTACATCCTAATTGATAGCCAGAACTTACCAACAAAAGCATACCTACCTCCTCAAGTTCAAAACGTCCAAATTCTAGAAGATCGTAGTTCGAATGGAAACATCGCATTCACCAGGACTCGTCCCAGCTTCAATGTAAAGAGCGGCTATCAGTATTAATCTAATCCTTTACTATCATATAATGGTCTATGAATCTCATAAAATATAATTTATTTATTAACTTAAAAGTGTGATTTTATTATCCCCTAACTAAAACTAACTGTATTTACATATATATCGAAAGATGTGAGTTTATTTGTTGAAATAAGTTGTGTAGACAGAACTTGATATATAAAAAAATTTATTTGGATTTTCTATAAATATAATGTTAAAAATATAAACATATAAATTAGAAAAAAATATCCTAAAACAGTCATCTAATAAGCGCACTTAAAATAATTAAAATATTAATAACCGCATGAATCTAATTAGTTAAAAGTAATGCTATGTTGATAAAATTTACAAATAAACTTAAGTAACGGTAAAAATATTCGTTAAATTTAACATGCATACATATTTATTTCAATGTAACTTAATGTAATTCAAAACAAATTTTAGAAATCCATGTATTAAGTAATCCGTTACTTTCTCGTTTAAATATTTAAAAGATACAGTATTTTATTACTTTATATAATCAAATGCTATGACTTCCGCTAATAATAAATTATATTTATAATGATTTATGAAGCTATGCAGATCATTGAATAAGATTATAACAAGAGATGACAGGAGTTCATACAAAGTATTTAGTGTATTTAAAAAAAAAACACACTCAACTTGTGTTTGAAAATAATAATTTCTTAATACTATTTTTATAATAAATGATATCTTATTAAATATTATAAATATGAGAAATAAGCCTATTTTCGCGATTATCATTTAAATGAAACTAATTTTTTTAGGATAACTGATAGCAACCGTGACAACGGATAGACGAGATGTCATTTCTTAATAAACCGATATGAGTTGCACACCCTTAAAGAGTATTTCTTTTTGATTTTTAATTGTTTGGGTTTTATACGCTTATTTAAACCACGTTAAATATATAATATATGTGCTATTAGTAATTAAAGTGACTATAAGAAATAGGTTTTCAAATTCTCGGAATGCTATAATTATTAATTAATAAAATTATTCAACATATTTAAAATTTTTTCTGATGAATAAATGATGTAAGACATGAATGAGGAACTGTGTCATACTCGAGACAGCTATGTGAATAAATTATTATCTGTTAAACATATTAACATATTTCATAGTAATCATATTTTCAAGTAATTATTACTTATGATGTTTCATAATTAAGTTATTATTAAATCATGCAAGAGAAACAAACTCAAGGGATTTCGCGTTTTATAAAGTTATTCATGATTTTGAAGTGTAGAAAATTAACTGTTATTTTCTTTAATATTTTTCTAATTTTATGACCTCATGAACTATTTATTAATTTTTCAATCAAATATAATAAAAATTAAAATACTTATCGAACTAAGTATCAGATATTTTTAACTAATGTATAATTTAAAAATATAGGAAAAAATAATAAAAATGGAGAATAATACTAGTATCTGTATGTTACCTATATCACTATTAATATAGAATTTAAAAGAAAATTAAAACTTTTTGTGATTTCTATTGTAATGATGCACTCAGTTGTTTCACATCAAAAATTAATATTCTGATTAACATTTAATACTCTTAATATTTTTAGTGACAATTCTTAAAACAATTGAATAAATAAATGAAAAAAATAATATTAATTGTTTTAATAAATGCACTCTTAACAGCTTTGTTAAAATAACTGCATCACTTTATCTCACTAGCAGTTTCAAAGATTTACTAAAACAAATAAACTTGCATAATAATACTTTTAAAAACGAGATCAACATAATAAAATATTCAAAGAATGACTATTTGCATATAAATTAATATAAGCAATGAATATAATCAAGATATTATAATAATAAATTTCTTTTTTCAATATTGTATGACATATTATTATAAAATAATTTAAATATCACTTTCTATTGCGATGGACCGTTGAAGGTAAATTCTGAATAACTGTCAATTATAACGCCCCTTGACTCTTATTGTTCATATAATACATAATAGCAGTGTCAATAACGTGACCAAATATCAAAATAAACGGCGTTTAACAGTTCATCGATGGTAACTATTAGGTGTTTGTGACGATATTTGTCCAGTCATCACGATTTTTAATTTCATTGACCATTAAAGATAATTTTCAGTATGGTATATATACTCCATATGAGCCCGTTAGACCACATATTCTTTCATTGTCTTTCAAACATCAACTAGCACAATGAAAATAATATGGGTTTGTATACAGAATTATATATTAAAACTATGTTACTTATATATTACTTTGTCTTAAAATATTCTATTTGTTTAAAAATAACAGGTACTTGTGGAGCTAATAGGCTTAGTCCTAGCGGAGAAATTAGATCGTACATATCTTCCACCACCTGGATCAGAATTTTCTGGAGGCAGTCCAGGGTCAATAGATGTTCCACTAGAGTTTCCTAAAGAAACGTATGTTTCTGACTATGGCAGCAATAATTTCAGAAAACCAGAAATAGCGATTGGCATCAACCGCATTGGCCCAATACCGATCAATCAACAATATGGCAGTACATCAGTACCATATCAAAAAAATGAATATAGCTTTCCGTCAACTGAGTCGTATGCATTGTCAGAAAATTCAACTAAAATACCTGATAATGCTTCAAAAGATTTCATTCAATCTCCTAATTTGGGTGATTTGAAAACCAATTATGAAAACTTATATAAGACGTCTTCAACCTCAAAGCCTGGCAACCTTTTTAATATAATAGAAGAAACGAAAGATATTAATAAAGTTGATCTTACAAATGACAAGAACTACGTTACAGATAATAAAATAAGTGATGAAAGTAAAAAAATATACGGTGGTAATATTGATAGTATTCCAGAAGTTGATTCATACTTTGCAAAACCTTCGTCACCTGCTACATTTGACTTTAGTTTGTCAAAATTATACGAAACTGGTTCCAATGTTTCATCCACTCCGACTTACGATAGTACATCGAATTTATCTGAAAGTGTATATAATACAAAACCATCGCAACACAAAATTAAATCTGATTTAAAGACAACATTTAACATTCCTTACACTTTTTCACCACGTACAGAAAGGATACAAGCACAGAGAGACAGGGAAGCAGTCATCTTAAATTATGAAAATGAAATTACTCCGGATGGTTACGCTTATAGCTTTGATACTTCAAATGGAATCCATGTTGATGAAAAGGCAACTGCGCTAAATGGAGTTCGGGCAAAAGGATCATATTCATACATCGGGGATGATGGCAAACTCTACAATGTCAGTTATACAGCTGATGAAAACGGATTCAGGCCTGTTGGGGATCATTTGCCATCTCCTCCACCAATTCCTGATGCCATTATGAAAATCATTGAACAGGCTACAAAAGATAGAGAAGCAGGAATTTATGATGATGGTAATTTAAATATTTTCATTAGTATTATCAAATACTTTATTAATTAGTTTCTTTTTTAATAAAACTTCATATTTCTATTGTCTTGTGTATATGTCTATATAGACATTATTATATAACTAAAAGATGCTTTAATCAAATTTCTGTTTTAGGATCTTATAATGACAGTAAATACGGCTATAGAAATTATGAACCAAAAAGCAAAATAGGATATTTAAATAAATATAAAACAGGCGGGCCCCAATTTACCAAAAAGCAAACAGACCAGAAAGAAATCAAAAACAAGAATATTTATTCAAATAAAAAAGAAATGGGAGACAAATTGAATACAAATAATTCAATATTTAAACCTCCGACCACGACTTTATCGCCTTATGAAAAATATGAAACAAATAGTAATAATGATGAATTCAAAATCACTGAAATTCAAAATGGATATATTAAAGATTCAGAAAATGAAGGTAATATATTAAGTCATGAAAGTGACGGAACTGGGTACGAATATTCAAAACCTATCAAAGACTTTTCTTTGGTAACAGACAAAAAATTTGTCAATAGAATTTCAGAGACTCCAAATCTAAATACCGACGAAATTATTGATATGAAGATAAACGATAATATTTTAGGAAAACCGTTCATGACACCATACGTTTATAAAAACGATAATACTTTCCTCGACTATGACAACGATGACTCAGTATTGAAAATACCAGGACAATACCAAGATCAAAATAAAAATCTACCGAGTGTTCAGAATTTAAACACTGAAATTCCAACTTTTTCAAATTCAGAATTGAACTCTACTAATAATGTAGGTGAGGGTACTGGGATAACTAACATTCTACCCCAAGATAATCAAGGATATTTCTATCCTAAAACAGGACCAAATTTCAACAACGATGCTTACAATCCTATTGTAATTTCTACCCAGAAAAATATATCTGAAAATCAATCAACAGTGCCAATCGAATTTCCTTCAAGATTACATTTGACAGATACAAAAGCAGAAACTATTTCTAGCAATCCATCCCCATATGGAGACTTGAGTTTATTCAACGACGAAACAAATATTCCAGATAATTCTATAGATCTGGAAGAAAATCGAATGTTTTTACAACAACAAACAACCCAACCTAATAATAAAAACAGTTATGGTGAATACATTCCAGGACCTGCAAATGAATTAAATTATAAAGAATACACAATTAACAGAGAAAATGCCATCAAAGGCGAGGATTTCAGTGGTCCGAAACAGGAACAAAAATATGACCCTCTTACTGGATATTACTATTGAAACTAAATTTGACCGAGCTTGTTTGTCTTTTGAGTTACAGTGTTTATATTTTTAATATTAATAAAATTAATTAAATATTCATGCTGTTTTAAATTTGGAATCGTCATTAATATATAATATTTTTATATATGTATTTCTTAACAATTCGTTTTCAGAGTGGAGTTAATATGTAGTTTAGTTATAAATTTCAATTTAAAATAAAATTTACAAAGAAATATTTAAGCACCATCTCATGATTGTTTACACAACTAAAATTTATGCAACTCTGAACACACTCCTAAAGATACGGTTTAAATTTCCGAAAGCCTTCGTTAGATGGCGCTGTTATAAGACTCTAAAATAGTTTTAACATAACAATAGAAAAATAGTTTTGGCTTCCAAACTACATAAAATGTTTTAATATTCAAAGCATATAATAAGCTTATTGTTGAAGCTGATACACATTTAAAGTTCAACTCCTAAGGCAAAATGCAAATTTCTCAGAAAATACTCCCATTTTGTGACTCAGATAAATGCCAAACGGTATACAGTAATAAGTAGTTACATTACTCATTGCCTTTATGAAGTCATGTAGTTAGTGCTTTTAGAAAAGAAAATTATATTGTGAAACATTTTTTTAATTTTTAAATAACCTGCAACGAGCACCTAGATATTTTTATAGAGCTATTTCTACCAACATATTATTCATGTACTTTAAGGCTGTGAATGCCCATAGTAGGATGTCAAAGAGAAGTAATTCGAACTTACCTGACCTTAATAATCATATATTATTTATTTTATTTCCCATTCGCACTTTCCTTTAAAAACTTAATGTTTAATTGTTCGTCTATTACTGTTCCACATCTAAAGTTACAGAAATATAAAGTAATTTATTAATTACATGTCATAATCGCCAAATCAAAAACAAACTACCTAAAGACAGAGCATTACGTTGTCACTAATTTGTATTAATTTATATTGTATAAGGCATGTGATGACACTAAGATTAAAATATTTCATTGAGTCATGTCATAATCAATTATTATAACACTGTCAGAACATAAATATTGATTTTAATAAAAGGCCGGTCAGTCAATTGATTTATTATAAATGAATGGCAATTAGAAGCTCTATCGGAATATATTTTATGATTTTAAAATACAACATGATTTATTCATTTTTTATTCAATTTTTTTTTATTTTATAAGTGCGAAAGTTTTTAGGAATGTACGGATGTATGGATTTTTGGTCCTCTATTACCCAAAAACGTTTAACTACTCAACAGATTTCGATAAAACTTTACAGTAATGTGAGTTAGACATCAGAATAAAATATAAGCATTTATTTCAGAATTTAATGTGAACTATCTAAGTATCTAATGAGATCACGGCCTAAGCGTATAATTTTACTTCAAGTTACCGTACAGATTATAGGCATCCCATTGATTACTAAATCTATAGTTTTAACACACTTTACACATTTCTTTTTGAACACAAATTTCGTATTTTAAACACACAAAGATGCGGGCAAAATCTAGCTATTTCAAAACTTTTAGACATTTAATATTCACTTTAAAGAGTAACAAAACGAAAACATAAACCTAAATTATAGTTTCAATATTCGTAGGAGTTACAAATTGTATAATTGAATTAACTAAACGAGTAAGTTAAATACTCAAATTATTATAGAACTAATAATTATAGTTTTACTATTACAGCAATCTATGAAATTCCGTTTTTGAGTCACAGCAATTTGTCTTCGATAGGACTGTAAGGAATGAAGATGCGACAATTCGTTCCATTGCAATATTGCGTGTCGTGATGGCATTTCATATGGAATGATTATAACAGTATTATTTTAACTCTCATCTTATAATGAAATAAATAAATTTATTATGAAATAAATTACACAACATAATATAGGCTTGCCCAACGTGAATAAGCTGGTAAATTTTTATAATAGTCACTTATTTCTATTACTATAAATATATACATACAGATAACTAGTCGACAACCCAAAAAATAAACATATATTGCATTTCATAAATATGAAAAATGATTCTAGCATGTACAACGTGCCTGAAATTTAACCTTTGTAAGTTTAAGAACTATTTTTGGCGAACGTCTAATATTTATTGATCGTCGAGATAATACTACTGCGTGAGGCATTTGTTGAAAAGAAATGTATTGATGTTCAGATCTTTATCTCTCGACCCCGGCATTTGAAGATAACTTTTAGGCGGTCAAAACTTATTTAAATAGTATTATGAATTACAAAATGTAAGATGAGTACATAAATTAATTTTTAGTTTGAAATGAGGAACAAAAGATCACGAAAAAATCTGAATAGTTTAGCAAAAATTCTAAGACTGGGATAAGCATGAAATAAATGTACATTTCTCATGTCATTCGGGTTTAAAATTACTTTTAGAATGAAAATATTTCATATACACTTACAAAATAATATATCTACACATTAAAGTCCCAGATGGATCTTTTATTTCAATGCAAAAGCTATAAAATATATATTAGCTATATTTTTGTCCACGTGAAGTATTCTCACAGAGATATATATCTGACCTCTTTGGTCCATCAACTGGGTTGTAAAAGCTAATTGTTAAAAGTTAACGTCATTACACCAGAATATGTTAGTGTTGCTCAACTTTGAGTTATTCCAACATATTACTTTCGTTATTGTTTTTGAGAAAATATTTATTGCCTTATACAAGTTATTTTTGATTATAAAGTGAGAAAATATTTTCTTCCATGTCATATAAATTTATTACAAGTAATAAAAAGTTTTTTTTAGTTATTGGTATTTGTAAGTTTGGAGAGTGGACCGGCAAAAGATGATTAATACGATATTTCCAATAGAATTTTAAAATATTTTTTTGCCTTAGCTTCTTTATTCAGACTTTGATAAATGATGCTATGCATGCTATGCACGTCGTTTAAAAATTGGTGGAGAGGCGACAAAAATCTTGATTATCTTTTATTTCGAAGACTGCTATCTAAAAATAGATCTACCAAATTACTCATTAAAATTAGGCTAAATACTAAAGACAGGCGGAAGATGTTTATGAACTGAATTTTTACACTAAGAAATTAGAAAGAATTAAATACTATTCCATAATTTACAAGGCTCCGTACTACATTATTTTGTTATTGAACGATATTTCCTCATATCAATGACTTTAAACAAAATGATTATTTTTATCTTCTTTATTTAAGCTTATTTATACGGACTTAATATTGTTGATTTAGCAAACTTCTTATTATAAGTTAACGCCTTTTGTTAAGTGTAACCGTAAACGTGAATCATTAATGGCAAATTAGACATTACTTAACCAACAACTATATTAAGTGTCTAATACAGCGATCTCGGCATTTTACTTGATTCCAATGTTCTGAAAATTTAAATGAAACTTGATAAATATGTAAATATTATATACTACAGAACTAAAATAATAACTAAGAAATTAGGAGCACAATAAAATACGTAAAAACTTAAACCTATACTAACTTATACACTTAACTTATTTCATATAAAAGTAAATACATATAATAAGGCACATAGTATACACACAAACTAAATACAAATATTATCCTAGACATATCAACCAAAATATACAGTATGTATATACGTTAGTCAAACACAAAACCATGTTGTTTAACGGGTTTTCGAATGCGCTGGGAGCGAGTTGGTATGGGAACTTCTAGCGTAGTTTCTGGGCGAGTGGGACATGACGGTGGTATGTCAATTGACTTTTCGTCAGAAGACTGCTGCCTCGTTTGTGCGTCGGGCACGGAACGATCATCTAATACTACAGAATCTTTTGACTGTGCCACAATTGACATTGATAAATCGAAATTTCCTCAACGTTTCTTAAATTGATTTACATGTCTTTTGATCGGTGGACCGTCATCCCTAACCACTAAGTAATTATGAGATCCTAAACATTTATCTACTCTACCTTTTAACCATTTCTTTCCTTCCCCATAGTTCCTTGCCCACACACTGTCATCTGGATTAAATTTCCTAGTAATCCCTGTTCCTGTTTTCTTTGCACTTTTTGCACCCTATTCTCTATCATTCTCTCCCCATGTAATAAATCAAGCCTCTATCTAATGCGCCTGCGTTGTAACATCATGGCTGGTGAAAGACCTGATGATTTAAAAAAATATGTACTCCCGAAGCTTCTCTCAAAATCTCGTCTGCTGATGATCACGGTTGCTGAACAGTAACCGAAACGTCGGGAGTATGTATGTATGTAGTTCTTAAAATAATAAAGTATGCGTAGTAATCCGGATAATATTAGTTTCATTTAAATAAATACTCGCGAAAGTCCTAGATTTCATTATCTTCTAAACATAAATATAATTATAAAAATACTATTGAACTAAATTATTTTTTTTTGTATCGCTTTGTACATATCTCCCAATTCTGGAATCATGCATAGAAAAATGTTGAATTCAATATAAATCATATCTTGCAAAATATATAACATATCAACGTCTTCTTTGTATGAGTCAATGATTCAATGAATCATAAGAAGGTCTTTTAACGTTTACAAATAGATATATTACATATAAGTTGTGTAATTGAAGAATTCTTAAAGTATCCTTATTAATTTATAGCAGCATACTAAATAGCGCGTAAATAATGCGTATGACCAGGCAATATTTAGACAATTGGGGCTTCTGAAAATTTTATTAAAATAAAATACAGTTAGTTCCTTATACATTATCATTTATCTACAATAGATAAGCTTTATGTTTTTTATTTAAAGAATGAATAGTTTTTGAGAAAGACTTTTAATCATTGTATTCAATTTAAATACAATCTTGTATTTTAATTCAATGTATTAATTGTATATTTTATACATAAGTGTATGTACATATATATGTTTATATGAATATTGTTTTTATAGTATCGATATGTAACTTTCCTTTCACCTAAAGTTACATGTAAGAGATTTGTTCTAACAACCGCTTCTAAGAGCGTTTTTGCATACAGTCTGCTTACTTTTTTCCCTTTTCATACGTATATAATGTAATAAACCATACGAATAATACATAATAATACATATGAATGTAATAAACCATAACTATACTTATTCAATATTATTTTACAGTCCAAGTATTATATTTAAAGAAGTCTTGTTCTTTAATTATTATTTTTTAATATAATCTGATTATAGAAAATTTCCATTTCATTATTTAACAAAATATAAAATAAAGAAACAGACAAACTATAATACAATCAAACTTATTGATAAAGTAATCACTATTTGTGATTACATCGAACAGACGAGCAAAAAGTCTCATTTTTTATAACAAACAAAATGTGTTCTACATCAAATATAGGAAGATTCGTATATTTTTTCACATAAGCCTAAGTACATTTCAAAATGGACAGTAATTGCCTAATATTTATGGTATATAATTGACTTTATAAGTTAACCTATTGTTAAGGACCATGAACCTTTATTTTTATAATACAATAATAGATATAAATAGAGCAATCACGTTCATATACGGCCTTGAGCATCAAGTCATTAGCCCAACGTTATAAGTCAAGAGTTTTTTGTTACACCACTGACATGACATATAATAATATTTTTTATTTAATATTTAGTTGAAATATTATGTTTATATCGGGAGTATAGTCTAGATATAGCGAGTAGTTAGTCAGTGGTGGCCTAGTGGTTAAAAGGCCCGCCTCTCATGCATGAGGGCGCGGGTTCGATCCTGGCAAGTACCGATGTGATTTTTCCGAATCATATGTGCTGTCTGAGAATTTTTAGACATCACTGATTCCCATGCATTCCCAAAGAGGGTTGATTTCAGGCAGGCGGCCGGTCGTAAAAAACAATTAGCCAAAACTATTCACAACATGTAAGGCAGAACCTCGCTAAAGCTGCTAAATTGCCAGGTAGAAGAAGTCTAGATATAGGTACAGACTTAGAAAAGAATATATTTTTCTATATTTAATTAATAAAAATTGTAAAGAAGACTTATTATATGTGAGAATGTATGCAATGTAAATTGGACAAATTATAATACAGTCATAACTTGAGTAAATAGGTCTATACATTAATCATTTTAATTGGTTTTGTGGCTAACATCTCCAGGGCATTTCCGTGTTATGTTTAATAATTGCTATAATCTTCGTAACGAATAGTAAAAAGCAAAAGCAATAAGTAAATTTCTTATAAAAGTCATTCTGGTATTGTTTTTAAACTTTAATGTACGTACACTGTAATAATAGATTGAGTCTTCAATCAATTTGGTAAATCGTCATTTTAATTTACCACTATTATACGCCTCTAAATAAATTAAACCTGACACATGCTTAATATTCATCTGAGATGAATACAAGCGTAATAGGACTGCAGTTCTAAAACAGATCACATAATAATTTAGATGATAATTATTTAAGAGATTAATTTTAAGGTCAGCTAGTCTCTACTTAGTTGGTCGTATTAATTTATAATACAATATGGGGAATTTATTTCAAAATGTAACATACAAAGGTCATTGATGAAAAATTATGTGTACTCATAAGTATGAGTATAGAAATATTGATTCTATTTTATTGAGAATTTGGATACAGTTTGGTAGACGTTAATATGGGTGGGAACGTTTTAGTTTTGTTAAAGTATGTTCGCAGAGTGGCGTCAGTAGCTAATGCTAATAAAATTCAAAATATATGAAGTCAGTCTGTTATAATAATTATATTGCAATTCAACGATTGCTTATACTTGATGCACGCATTCCGTGGGATGGTTCGCTTGTCGATAATTGCAACATTTTGTTGAACACCACATTGATATATTAAATCGCAGCGATTAAGAACTATCGGTATTACAAAATATAATAGTTACAAGCTATGTATTATTTTTTTTAAGAAGTAACGATTTAATTTTTTAAATATTTACTTCGCTTATATGACGAAACTTCTTTTTTCTTGTTATTACTTCATATCAATAAATTATGATAAAGAATTTTAAATGACGGCATTATTGTTGTTTAGATTGAAAGAAATATTTTTGTTTAAAAACATTATATATTTAAAATTGTAAATATAGAAAACTAAAATGTTTATAAAATGCTGTTTATTTTATCTTATTCGTTTATTTTATTGGATTATTACCGAAGGCTTTTATAAATTATAGTGTGTGGACAGTGTCATGCATCTCCAATCATCAAACGTCGTATTATGTCGTACCTAGTAATAAGACTATTATACGTTTTCTTGCAATCTCCTTTTATTTAAAAGTAATCTAACAAACTGACATTTTAAAAAGAATTATATCAAAGACGTTGACATTTACAAAACATTTCACGATTTCAGTGCAAATGAAGCTATAGAATATAAAAAAAGAACTATACCAACTCTTTCACGTAATCATTACAAATAAAACGCTTGCAATACTTTTTTCATAAAAAACGCCGCGTTTTAAATCCGTGTAAAAGACTTTTATATTAAAAAGATCGTGCATCGCCTGCTCTCAATATTATGGTTTATGGATTAAGAAACAATATTACACATACAGATACAAAATACATATTTAGAAAATTACCGGTCGGCATAAATTATTATTGGTGCTATAATTTGGCTATCATTAGTATAATAACATTTTAGTTGGCTTTAACTTACCAGTGATCTTTAGAATTAGGAGTTAAATAACTCTTAAAATAATATAAATATAAATGTTTTCAACTTTTACTGCTTTAAATTGTATTTGGTATTATAAGTATATTCTTAAAATATTTTAATTATTCACACTTTTAATTAATAATTTTTTAAATTTTTGTCGTACATAACATTTTCATTCCAAAACACTTAGTTGGCGTAATAACACGGCGTCCTTTGACGTTTAAGACTAAAGTAATGCAAACAGATGCACTAAATGAGATGCAAATTAGCTTTTATTTTGATCTTCTCAGTGTCATCAATTAATTTATGCACGTTTAACGTCTACACATTTGATATAGAAGGATAGAAATTCCCAGTTCATGTCAATATAATGTCACGGTGTTAATAATGATTTGATAATAATAGAAGTAAAACATTATTTCATGTGTGATTTCAGGGTTAATATTACGAATAGTAGATTTAGACCATGGCTACTAAGAGTAGTAGTAGAATTTAGACTAAGAATTCAAATGAAAAACATTGCTCATATAATCCTAAAACAATTAAGTCATTATTATTTTTTAACATAGAAAAAGAGTTCACTTTTTCTATTGTGAACTCAATAAACTTACAACGTATTTATAGCTACTTAATATCAAATGGTTTAAACAATATCATTTGATACATCTATGTTTGTAAGCAGCCTTAGTTGTAAGCCTCACAAACGCAGACGATCGGCTTTCGCTCTCGTTTTTAATAGGCAAAGGTTAGTCTTACGTAAGAGCAATTACATTAATTGTACATCATATATGTCAAATGTTTGTGCTATGATTGATATGTTAATAATTTACAGTTATCTCATTGTATTGCCATTTTATAAATTAAAGGGTTTGTGTCATGAATTACATTGCATTTCGTTATGAAAACTGGATCAAGATGGTATCTGATACAGTCTACTTTATAAACATGTTCATTATTTAACCTTATGCTTTCAGATGGCGTATAATGAAGATATAATTAGTGAATTGAAATGTAAAACGAATCCTTGAACGCTCCCTTCTATGAGACATCATAAATATTATTTTATTTCGCTTGTTTGTTTATCTACGAGTGATAAAAGTTACACTGACTGATATTAAATATCAACTTTAGAATTCCATTTCGTAGTTTAATATTATATTGAGAATTATGGTTTTATTTATTGAACAGTGTTTGT